CCCCCCTCAAAAATTTTCTTTAAAACCCATTTTTTCTATCGATTGGTACAAGAAATGCCCATTTACCGATTTCAACTACCTAATAATGTGGTCGGGAAATTGCAATTTGGCCAATTTCACGAAAACTAAAAAAATGACAATTTCAAAATAAGGTCCAAATGAACAATGCAGACATTCCTGGGTCTAAAATAACATTTTCTTTGTTCTTTCAGTCACGTCTCCAGGCCCCTCTGATATTACTCTTGCTTTCTATTTTAAATTTTTTATTCAAAACAAAAATAGAAGACTTACTATTATGCAGACTACTGCAATACTGTAATAATTGTATAAATAACATCAACCCATTCATGACTTCATATTAGAATGGCTAGTTGGACATTTATTGGACAATGGCATCATTTGTTTACTTTTGAACATTGGCAAAAATCAAACATTTCCCCTACTTTGAGCTCTATTTCTTGGTTCTTTTTATAGTAAAATCAATCAAAATCACCTCTATTTCTATAATATGTTTTCCATTCTATCAAATGAGACCAAGAAAACGAGAATACAACCATAAATACTATACGAAAATAGACCATTTTAATTAAAAAAAAACGGTCGGAGTTTTTTTTTCTCATTATGCACTGCCTGCTCCAGGATTTTTTTATATGGTGCACACTGACCACACAGACCCATTCTCTCACATGTGGGTCTACCAGCTTTCTCCTGCTTGATTTGAAGCCGCTAGAATTTATGAGTATTTATACGTCAAACACGGTACCTCGTAAGACGTATATATATGGCCGCGACAGTCAAAGGGTTAAGAGTAACTCTGGTCAGATCACTGACAGTGATAAGAATGTGTGTGAAATTCTCAATACCTACTTCCTCTCAGTTTTCACCCAGGAAAATACTAGCGATATTCCTGAAATAATAGATTATGTAGAACAGGATAATAAACTATGCACGATTGGGCAGTGTGTGTGGTGCAAATATTATGCAGAGAATTCGGAGTGTGGAAATTAGGAGGTGGTGTGGAGTTACTAAAAGTATTATTCAGAGGGCTGAAGAAGGTTTGAGTTGAGGTGGTTTGGTCCTATACAGAGAATTGATCAAAGTAGTATGACTTTGAGAGTGTATAAATCTGTAAGGGAAGGAAGGCGGGGTAGGGGTCGTCCTCGAAAAGGTTGGAGGGAGGGGGTAAAGGAGGTTTTGTGGGCGAGGGGCTTGGACTTCCAGCAAGCGTGTGAGCATGTTGGATAGGAGTGAATGGAGACGAATGGTTTTTGGAACCTGACGAGCTGTTGGAGTGTGAACAGGGTAATATTTTGTGAAGGTATTCATGGAAACCGGTTATTTTCATATAGTCGGACTTGAGTCCTGGAAATGGGAAGTACAATGCCTGCACTTTAAAGGAGGGGTTTGGGATATTGGCAGTTTGGAGGGATATGTTGTGTATCCTGTTTAAGGGCAATGTGTGGTGTAAATATTATGCAGAAAATTCGGAGTGTGGAAATTAGGAGAAGGTGTGGAGTTAAATAAAAGTATTAGTCAGAGGGCAGAAGAGGGGTTGTTGAGGTGGTTTGGTCATTTAGAGAGAATGGATCACAGTAGAATGACATGGAAAGCATATAAATCTATAGGGAAGGAAGGCGGGTGGAGGGTCGTCCTCGAAAGGTTGGAGAGAGGGGTGAAAGGAGGTTTTGGGTAAGGCTTGGATTCCAGCAAGCGTGCGTGAGGAGGTTAGATAGGAGTGAATGGAGCGAATGGTACTTGGGACCTGACGATCTGTTGGAGTGTGAGCAGGGTAATATTTAGTGAAGGGTTTCAGGGAAACCGTTAGTTTTATATAGTCGGACTTGAGCCCGGAAATGGGAAGTACAATGCCTGCACTTTAAAGGAGGGGTTTGGGATATTGGCAGTTTGGAGGGATATGTTGTGTATCTTTATATGTTTATGCTTCTAGACTGTTGTATTCTGAGCACCTCTGCAAAAACAGTGATAATGTGCGAGTGTGGTGAAAGTGTTGAATGATGATGAAAGTATTTTCTTTTTGGGGATTTTCTTCTTTTTGGTCACCCTGCTTCGGTGGGAGACGGCCGACTTTTTGAAAAAAAAAAAAAAAAATTCATGGAAACCTGTTAGCTGGACTTGAGTCCTGGAAGTGGGAAGTACAATGCCTGTACATTGAAGGAGGGGTTTGGGATATTGGCAGTTTGGAGGGACTTCTGAACTGTTGTATCTGAGCACTTCTGCAAAGACAGTGATTGTGTATGAATAAGGTGAAAGTGTTGAATGATGATGAAAGTATTTTCTTTTTGGGGATTTTCTTTCTTTTTGGGTCACCCTGCCTCGGTGGGAGACAACCATCATGTTAAAAAAAGTATAAAGAAAGAATTAAAGAGAAAAAGTCTCATTATATTGAATGTTATCGATAATATCGAGTGAAAATAGGGGGTGCTGCAGTTCTGCAGTGCCTATACGTGAGCTGCCACTGAAGTCTACCAAGAAAAATAAGAGTAGCTGTACTGCTTTATATCATTAATGAGGTCAGGTCATATTTATTAACAAAAGATTGGCATTAAAGGGTCAGATTTCTATTAGAAGCTTGTTATTTTTGCCTTATGAGCAATTCTGGTTTAATGATGCACAGATCATTCATATTGGAGTTTCTAAAATGTTTACTGCAGAGTGAACTTTTGAGTGCTAGTTAAGAAAGAGTTCTGCATTTTGTGTTTCTAAAAATTTGCCTAAAAGTGTGTAGACAATGAAATTATTTGTCTGCCCAGTTCATTTGCATATAAAATATATAATGAGTAAGGATAAAATAAATAATAACAAATTTTATTTAATAATTTTGATATGCTGTACTTAGGAATTATTGTAGTGTATTCTATTTAAACCTTTCTATCTTCCTTTGACCTGAGCAGGTATCCTTTATTTCTGGATCGGTTAGTGAGTGAGACACCGCATGCTCATCCTGACTACGTAGACTTGTTGGAGGCCAAATCGAAGATGGCAAATGTTGCAAAGGAAATCAACGATTACACCAAAAGACTTGATTTAGGTAAGCCTTCACAATGAAACATACTCATCTCTTTTGGCACATTTTAGGAATCCAGCTGGTTCAGTGCTATGCAGGCAAATGAGAAAAATACAGATTGACATTTTAGTAGGCATTAGTCACATCAGAGCCATGAATGGCTTGATTATTTCTGTTCTAACCCTTTAACAGTCCAAATGTAGTTCTGTGTTTTTACTGCTAGTGCTTCGAACATAGATCAATGTTTTATTTTTCCTGCAAATTTGGCATGATAGGCCTGAGGGGCCTAGGCAGTCTAAAATGGGTCTTAGCACTCAGAGTGTGCAGTACAGGGTGTTTTAAAATGATGGACCCAATCGTGAAATCTACTCCTTTGAAGTTGGCTCCATCTTTTTAACTTGTAAACGGTCCAAATGTATATATACGTTCTTACCGCTAGTGCTCCAAACGTATATAAATGTTTTATTTTTCCTGCCTTCAAATATGGCACAATTCGCCTGAGATGCCTTGTCAGCATAGAATGGGTCATAACACTCAGTGTACACTGTATTAAAAAATCTGGGACCAATTAGTACCTTGTGGGATCACCAGTTCAAATGAGCGCCAGCTAGAGCAAACAGCGCAGCAAACACCTGGGATTCACTGATTTCATGTAGTATTAACTCTCCCATTTTAGGAGGAAAGTGATGTTGACCCCGAGTTTAGTGGCTTTGAGGTAGATGTGGCCATAAATGGTGGAGGAAATATAAAAAAACCTCAATAATAACTCATGTGCAACATTTGTACAATACCCATTCAGAATGTCTTATAACCTATGCCTTAAGTAAAGAGAAACAATTCTGGAATGTAATACTTGTTCAGCAGGCTGGGTGACTGACTGTTTGGCTGGCCACCTGGCTGGCCAACTGCGTGGCTGGCCGGCTGCTGGTAGCCTGGCTCCATTTGTTTGTCTGTGTCTATGTCTATCTTTGTCTCTATATTTGTCTCTGTCTATCTTTGTCTCTGTGTATCTGTCTCTGTCTCTCTGTCTCTGTCTATCTCTTTCAATCTGTCTGTCTATCTCTGTCTGACAGGTACACATAAATACACGTATACGTAGTGTAAATTACCTAGGATAACCCAAAAAATCCAGACAAAGGGCTATACTCTGCTTGAAGATATGAGTAAACGTGATGATGCAGTCTTGTGGCTTTCTCTGAGAGAGAGAGCTAGATGGATAGACAGAGAGCTTGACAGACAATGCTTATCAAATGTTACCTCTAATCTTATCAAGTCTTAACACTGCACCCTCACGTATGCTCATCAAATGCAGCTCTTATCAAATGTTATCTCATCTTACCATGTCACTATCAGGGGTGGACTGAGGCTTGTTTTTCAGGCTTCAAGGGAACTTATTATTACTATTATTATTATTATTATTATCCTCCTCCCCCTCCTCCTTCCTCCCTCCTTCCTCCCTCCTTCTTCCCTCCTTCCTCCCTCCTTCCTCCCTCCTTCCTCCCTCCTTCCTCCCTCCTTCCTCCCTCCTTCCTCCCTCCTTCCTCCCTCCTTCCTCCACATATCCAAAGCATTGCTGAGACCTATAAATACTTTGCATATATTCCAAGACAATAGTAAATAGCCAAGGCAGGTGTAAATGTCCACCTGTCACTGTGTTTGTGACAATTTCAGTACCTAATATTAGTGTCAGAACAAAGATTGGTTATGAAATGACAAGAACTACTATAAATTGTAATTATCAGAACATAAAAATTATATGAAAAATAGAAAAAAAGGTATATCGGCAACACTTCTGCAAGTGGCAGGACTCGATGTTGCTGTCATGTGAGCATCCAGTGCCAACTTCTCAGCCTCATATCTCTAAGTTTTTTTTTTTTTTTTTTTTGCAGAGGTGCTCAGAATACAACAGTTTAGAAGCATACACATATAAAGATACACAACATATCCCTCCAAACTGCCAATATCCCAAACCCCTCCTTTAAAGTGCAGGCATTGTACTTCCCATTTCCAGGACTCAAGCCCGACTATATGAAAATAACCGGTTTCCCTTAATCCCTTCACTAAATATTACCCTGCTCACACTCCAACAGATCGTCAGGTCCCAAGTACCATTCGTCTCCATTCACTCCTATCTAACACGCTCACGCACGCTTGCTGGAAGTCCAAGCCCCTTGCCCTAATTTATTTTTTAAACTGTAACACTTAGAAAAGTGTGCTCTTTATTTTCATTAAAAAAAAACTATTTTTTTTTATTTTTTAAAATATTCGGGGCACTGGGGTAGTGAACGTATATATACGTTTGGACCGTTTACGGGTTAAAACACCCTGTATTAAAAAATCTGGGACCACTTAGTACCTTGTGGGAGCACCTGCTGGAGCAGACAGCAGGAATTCACTAATGCCCTGTTGTATTAACACTCCTTTTAAGAGGAAAATAATGTTGACACTGAGTTTAGTTGCTTTGAGATGGAGAATCCATGTGCAACACTTGTGCCACATACTTTTGTTTTGATACTACTGGTGTCATCGTGCCAGAATGTCCTGTCCTATCACCTATGCTATAAGTAGAGAGAGAGGGGGGGATTCTGCAACACGTGTAATACATGTTTGGCTGGCTGGATATCTCTGTCTCTCTGGCTCTCTTTCTATCTCTCTGTCAGCTTGTGTTTATCTCAGAGAGAACTACTCATGAACCAGAATCATGGACTAAGTTTGTTTAGGCACAGGTACACATAAGTACAGTTAGACAAAGTGCTATACTGTGCTTGTAGCTCTGAGGCAATAAAAAATCAAAATGGAATTCATATATAAAGTCTGAAATGTAACTAATGAACAGAGGAGATGTTATTTTAGTACCAGGAATGCCTGCATGGTTTATTCTGGACTCTGGAATATTTTGGAATTTGTGTCAAATTGGCCAAATTATCATTTTCTGATCACTTTATTGGGTAGTTGAAATAATTGATTGGGTGGTTTCTTGTGCTCAGTCAATAAAATAGAAGGCATACTAGTGAAATAGCTAAAAAATTTGTCAACTGGAACAATGTAATTGACCTAAAATAGGAGTCAAAGCAAGCAAAATTGCTGATGAGTAAATATCGCTGACACACCAAAATTCACGATAGCATAATTTTGTCAGTTGTCCCTCAAACTTCATACTTTTTGTTTTATATCTTCAGAAAAAGATTTTCTACCGTTTCATAAGAAAAAATAATTTTTTTGTTTTTTTTTAAATTATTTGACCCTGTGGACAAGTTAGGGGTCTGGGCCATGAAAGGGTTGAAATATAAAGGTAATAAAACCCATTGGGTTGGGAATGCATCATACCTGTCAAGTTAAGAGGTTATAAAGAGGAGCTTGGAGCTGCCAATTCAGCTCCCATGATAACAATTTGGTGATGAATGTGAATGTTTATCACTACCGGATATTAATTAGATAAGCTCTTTTTCTAATATCAGTGATCTCATAGCCTGTTTTCTGTGAGAAAACATTTGTTGATTTTAAAGTAAATGAAGTCTGTTTATCTGCTGTATAGCACACCTGAGCAGAATTAATTATGTTTCAGTTAACAAGTATCGTTATGAGAGTGATCAGTCGCTACAGAGCAAAATGCAGAGAGTGTCCTTGCATTCTGTGGCAAAGAAGTCAGCGAGACTCTCAACTCTTGTCTCAGAAATGCTGGGAATCATGAGTCAGGTACAGTGTGGTGTTATCACATGTCTGCATGGGTGTGTTATCACAAGTCTGTATGTGGTACCTCCAAGGAATTTAAACTAACCTCTGCTTCCTTGGCTTAAACCTGATTACCTCATCCCCCAGGTGCTGCATAACCTCTGTGGGTTAATTGCTTCCACATGAATAATAATACATGTGCTACCCCTAAGGAAACCGAAATACATAATGTAATTTCAGATTTTGTAAAATTATGATTTTTAAATTATTGTGAAGAAAAAAAAGAAAGGTTCTGAGCTAACCTGCTCCACATCTGTCATTTTGTTTTCTTCATTGCTATCAGCAGTATGCCTTTGTATTCTAGTGGATTTGGTAGTGGTGGCCAGAGATGGTAAGCAGTGAAGTTGTTTATTGCAAAGTTTTTGTGCATGTGGTCATTCGTTGTAAATAGTTGCAGTGCATATTGTTAGTGTGAATGTGTTTTGTTTATTTTTGGATGCTGAGAAATAGCAATGAATATATAAAATTCATTGTGGAGTCTATAACTTGTATAAGCATATTTGAGGCCCTTCTGTGGTTTATGATTTTTATCGGAAAAAAAAAGTATATTGGCATATCACTGAAACAATCACTTGAAATGTAAAAGAAAAAGAGAGATTAAAACCATGTGATCATTAGTAGACTAGAGTATTGGAAACATTCATTGTGACAGTAGCTTTATATAATAAAAATCTGGATATTACCAGGTATTCTTTGTCTTTAGGTTGGAATAGAAAAAATGTTTTATCATCATCAGTAATAGAACTCACATCTGTGCAAATTTGGATGCTGTACAAAAATCATTGGCAAACCTACTGAATTTATTTATTATTTATTTATTTAATGTCTTTGTAAACAGTACATTGAGATTGTGTATATACAATAGTGGGTTGCAATACAAAGAGAGCCTCTGTTATGCCTTGGCATTATGGGCCAACTTAACATTATTGGCTTACATTCTACTTAATACTAAGGAGTAGTATATCATAGTTGTACAGTAGGAAAGTAATTATTTCATAGTTGTACAGTAGAATATTAATTATAAATGAATCAAAATTTGTATAATACAAAGATATACGTATTATATTCTAAAATGCTTTTGTGAAAAACAATGATTCAATTGTTAGGTATTTTATACCATTTTAATGGTATTTTATACCATTTTAATATTCAATGATTCAATTATATTCCTGTCAACAATGGATAAAAGGTTCAATGTGATTGTTTCAGTTATGATGTGGGAGTACATAGGTGAGTAAATGTATACTGAGTATTTAGCATTTAGTCTAGGGTGATTAAGTGGCTTTTGAGAAGAATCTTAAATTGATTTTCAGACTGGGTTACTTTAATATCTTCTGGTAATGAACTCCATATTTTGGGGCCCTTTATGTGCATAGAGTTTTTACACAGTGTGATATGGACACGAGGTATATCAAAAAGAGATCTGTGTCTTGTGTTGTGGTCATGTGTCCTGTTTAGGTTGGTGAGGAAAAGTTTGAGTGGGGGGTTTATATTTGCATGTATTGTTCTGTGTATGTAGTAGGCACATGAATAAGTATGGATGTTCTTAATGGTAAGCAGATTCAGACTTTTGAAAATTGGTGGAGTATGCTGGCGGGAGTGGGAATTTGTTATCATTCTTACTGCTGCCTTTTGCTGGGTTATTAGGGGGTTTTAGGTGATTGGATGTTGTTGATCCCCATGCACAAATTCCATATGTAAGATAAGGGTATATGAGTGAATGGTACAGTGCCAGGAGAGCTGATTGTGGAACGTAGTACCTTATCTTTGATAGTATGCCTACAGTCTTGGAGATTTTCTTGGTGATTGTTGTGTGTGTGTCCGGAACTTAAGGCTACTGTCAAGGTGGATACCTAGGAATTTTCCCTCTGTGAGTCTTGTGACTGATGATCCATTTAGCGTAATGTTAATTGGATCATTTGCAGCTTTGTTTCCAAGCTGAATGAAATAGGTTTTATCAGTGTTCAGGGTAAGTTTGTTAGTCATCATCCAGGCAGATATTTTCTGTAATTCAGCATTGACTGTGTTTGCTAGTATGACTGCATTTGGGGGGGAAAATACATATGTAGTGTCATCTGCAAATAATATGGGTTTGAGTAGCTGTGATGCATTCTGTAGATCATTGATGTAGATGAGAAAGTGCATAATGCACTTTCACCCTATCAAATTGGGGAGGAGGAGTATGGAAGAAGTGAATGTTTTTCAGTTTATTTTGGGGTTGAGTGTCGGCGGAGGGAATAAGGATGAGGTTAATCTAGAATTGATGGGGGAAAAAAAAAGGGAGTGGGCGTTTAGGGTTTTTGGAGTCAAAAAAAAAGTTACATGGAGGCAAAAGAAGGGGAAAGTATGAAAATATAGTAGTACCAACACTCTTAATGGGGGGAAGTTGGGTGTAATGCAGCAGCGAGGAGACGGTTGGGGGCAGCGGGGGATTCCTGTTTAAGGGCAATGTTTTTGAAATATTATGCAGAAAATTTCGGAGTGTGGGAAATTAGGAGAAGGGGTGGAGTTAATAAAAATTTATCAGAGGGCAAAGAGGGTTGTTGGGGGTTTGGTCTTTGAGGAAAAGGATCACAGTGAATGACATGGAAAGCATATAAACTATAGGGGGAAGGGGAAGGCGGGGTAGGGGGGGCGTCCTCGAAAAGGGGTTTGGAGAAGGGGTAAAGGAGGTTTTGTGGGGGAAGGGGCTTGGGCTTCCAGCAAGCTGGTGAGCGTGTTAGATAGGAGTGAAGGAGACGAATGGACTTGGGACCCAGATCTTTGGAGTGTGGAGCAGGGTAAAATTTATGAAAGGGGAAGGGGAAAAGGGTTTTTTCATATAGCGGACTTGAGCCTGGAAAAGGGAAGTACAATGCCTGCACTTTTAAAGGGGGGTTTGGGAAATTTTGGGAGTTTGGAGGGGTATGTTTTATCTTTATATGTTTATGCTTCAGACTGTGTATTCGAGCCCTCTGCAAAAACATGATAATTGCGAGTGTGGTGAAAAAGTTGAATGTGAGAAAGTATTTTTTTTTGGGATTTTTTTTTTTTTTGGGGTCACCCTGCCTTGGAGACGGCCGACTTTTGAAAAAAAAAAAAAAAAAAAAAAATATTTTTAAATCTACACTTACCTGTAAATTTAATTTAGCAGTTAGACTTAATCTAGGTTGGATTGTTGCGCTCTACTTTGAGTTCTAACACAGAATTTCTTCTTCTTCCAACGTACCAGCCGTATCCCACTGAGGCGGGGTGGCCCAAAAGAAAAAACTAAAGTTTCTCCTTTTAAATTTAGTAATATATACAGAAGGGGTTACTAGCCCCTTGCTCCCGGCATTCTAGTCTCCTCTTACAACATGCATGGCTTACGGAGGAAGAATTCTGTTCCACTTCCCCATGGAGATAACAGGAAATAAACAAGAACAAGAACTAGTAAGAAAATAGAAGAAAACCCAGAGGGGTGTGTACATATATATATGCTTGTACATATATGTGTAGTGTGACCTAAGTGTAAGTAGAAGTAGCAAGACATACCTGAAATCTTGCATGTTCATGAGACAGAAAAAAGGACACCAGCAATCCTACCATCATGTAAAACAATTACAGGCTTTTGTTTTACACTCGCTTGTCAGGACGATAGTACCTCCCTGTGCGGTTGCTGTCTACCAACATACTACCTAGGAACACAGAATTTATCTTTTTGTATTTTTTCAACCTGAAGCATAAGCTATTTGGTCAAACTTTCTTTACCCATTGAATTTTTAGGCTGAGTTGTTATTCTACTTCAGCTCTTATACAGAGGCTGAGTTATCCTACCTCAGCTTTTTCAAAGCCCTATCTAAGATAATCTCTCACCACTTCCACTTCCCAGAATGCCAACCACAAGAGTTGGCTAATACCTAGGTACCTGTTTGTGCTGCTTGGCAGACTTGAGACAACAGGTGTCAGGAAGCATACCTAACATCTTCACCTGCTCTAGGACTGAGCTCAGGTCCTTTGACATTGAGCCAAATATACTACCACTGAGCCATGAGTTACCTAACATGTGGATAGTCCTGCCAGGATCTATCAATCAGTTACAGAGGCAAAATTGATGAACCTCTACATGTCCCAGATAGGAACCATATTTTACACTTTTTCATTCATTATGATGTTCTTCCTCATCAATATTTTCATTTGGAATACTTTAGGACCCCTGTATCCGCAGGGTGATACATTCCAAGGACCTGCGTGTTACCAAAATTGCGGATAGTAGCAAACCCTATATATAAGTCCTATACATACCTATTATAAATTTAACTAATAAATTATGCTCAAGTGGAGAATTATCACTTTCTCACTGACAGGAAGCACTTCACAACTTCTCTTAGGCTTTAAAGAACTACCAGCTTCTCTATTTTTGCACTTTGGGGCCATTATTATGCAAAATTAAGAGGTATTTTTTGGACCACAGTAAACCGTGGATAGCTGAGACCGCAGAAACCAAATCAGTGGATACGGGGGTTCTACCGTATTAACAATAGAGTAAGAGGTAGATGGGAAAAGAGGAAAATGGCAACAACAAGCAAGAGGGAGGCAAAAGTGTATAAACTAAGGGAGGAGGAAGTTTGGGTGAGATATAAGCAACTATTGGCAGAAAGGTGGGCTGGTGCAAGTATGAATAGTGGGGGGGGTTGAAGAGGGTTGGAATAGTTTTAAGGTGTCGTTCACTGGTTCGGAGCGTGGAGAGAGAAAACACTCGAAGAAATATGAAAATTGAGTTATTGTTACCAAAAAAATAGCTGAACTTTCTGGCTACACTCTGGTATAATTATTATCCTTGTACGATGTTTCTAAAAGGAATTACAGCCATTTATAACAGGCATGGTGACAGCGCTGACGCGGCATTGTTTATGTTTTTCCCCCGTGTTATTTTTATCCTTTTCTTATATCTTTATGTCTAATATAATACAAATTCACCATCTGAGATCATGCCAGAGTGGGCGGAGACAATATGATCAAGGAACCAATCGGGAACACCTGGGAATAGTGCAGAAAATGGCCGACACCTCCAGCCAACAAAATATTCCAAACCCACGCTAATATCAATTATAAGGCTTATTTATCTATCACAATTGATCTATTATGACATAATGCTATATAATAATAGCATATAAACATAAAAAGTACACGTTAAAAAATAATATATAGCATAATATGATGCCCCGAGGAAAAAATTTCTATCGATATATTCCCTGAAGGTGAGGAAAGGGTCCGACCTCTCTCATCAGTGATGAGAGAAAACGGATTTACAATGGTTAACTGTAATAAACACTCGTAGGTCACAGAAAAAGTGTAAAATAAGGCGAATTTTTCGGGGAAAAAAAATATTTCCCGGGCACCTGGGGTGCCGTGCGCTTCGGCCTATATCTCGAAAGTAAGTTAAATGTTAAAAGCAGAGGAGGATATAGTGTTGGAGTGGTTGGTATTTTTGTTAAATAAATGTATGAAAGAGAGGAAGGTACCTAGGGATTGGCAGAGAGCATGTATAGTCCCTTTATAAAAAGGGAAAGGGGACAAAAGAGATTATAAAAATTATAGAGGAATAAGTTTACTGAGTATACCAGGAAAAGTGTACTGTAGGGTTATAATTGAAAGAATTTGAGGAAAGACAGAATGTAGGATTGCAGATGAGCAAGGACGTTTCAGAGTGGGTAGGGGATGTGTAGATCAAGTGTTTACATTGAAGCATATATGTGAACAGTATTTAGATAAAAGTAGGGAAGTTTTTATTGCATTTATGGATTTAGAAAAGGCATATGATAGGTGGATAGGGGAGCAATGTGGCAGATGTTGCAAGTACGTATATGGAATAGGTGGCAAGTTACTAAATGCTGTAGAGTTTTTATGAGGATAGTGAGGCTCAGGTTAGGGTGTGTAGAAGAGAGGGAGACTACTTCCTGGTAAAAGTAGGTCTTACAGGGATGTGTAATGTCACCATGGTTGTTTAATATATTTATAGATGGGGTTGTAAAAGAAGTAAATGCTAGGGTGTTCGGGAGAGGGGTGGGATTAAATTATGGGGAATTAAATACAAAATGGGAATTGACACAGTTGCTTTTTGCTGATGATACTGTGCTTATGGGAGATTCTAAAGAAAAATTGCAAAGGTTAGTGGATGAGTTTGGGAGTATGTGTAAAGGTAGAAAGTTGAAAGTGAACATAGAAAAGAGTAAGGTAATGAGGGTATCAAATGATTTATATAAAGAAAAATTGGATATCAAATTGGGGAGGAGGAGTATGGAAGAAGTGAATGTTTTCATATACTTGGGAGTTGACGTGTCGGCGGATGGATTTATGAAGGATGAGGTTAATCGTGGAATTGATGAGGGAAAAAAGGCGAGTGGTGTGCTGAGATATATGTGGAGACAAAAAGCGCTATCTATACTGGCAAAGAAGGGAATGCATGAAAGTATAGTAGTACCAGCACTCTTATATGGGTGTGAAGCTTGGGTTGTGAATGGAGCAACGAGGAGGCGGTTGGAGACAGTGGAGATGTCCTGCCTAAGGGCAATGTGTGGTGTAAATATTATGCAGAAAATTCCAAGTGTGGAAATTAGGAGAAGGTGTGGTGTTATTAAAAGTATTGAGGACTGAAGAGGGGTTGTTGAGGTGATTTGGTCATTTAGAGAATGGATCAAAGTAGAATGTCATGGAGAGCGTAGAAATCTGTAGGGGAAGGAAGGAACCGGTTATTTTTATATAGCCAGACCTTGAGTCCTGGAAATGGGAAGTACAATGCCTGCACTCTAAAGGAGGGGTTCGGGATATTGGCAGTTTGGAGGGATATGTCGTGTATCTTTATACGTATATGCTTCTAGACTGTTGTGTTCTGAGCACCTCGGCAAAAACAGTGATTATGTGTGAGTGAGGTGAAAGTGTTGAATGATGATGAAAGTATTTTCTTTTTGGGGATTTTTTCTTTCTTTTTGGGTCACCCTGCCTTGGTGGGAGCCGGCCGACTTGTTAAAAAAAAAAAAAAGGATTAATCTCCTTATCCATTAACATTTCTTAGATTTAATCACAGAATCATCCTGAAACCCATTTACTGTGTCATCCCTCTTTACCTCTAGCCCCTTTAAGGGATGCTTTGATGTTGAAGGGACTCATGATCCAAGGAATTTGAGCTATGCCCTCTCTTTTTGGATCATCCCTGATTACTTCCCATTTCCTAAGTGCTGTATGACTGCTGCAGGTTTAGCACCTTCACTGCAACTATAATAGTAGTAATCTTTATTTAACACCTCATCAGCGAATTAGGACATAGCATAAACCTCGTTATTGAATCCTTAAAGTTAACAATCTTTCATGATCCTCAGTACAAGCTACAATTCTTTTTTTCATTGCCCTTAACCCTTGGACTGTTTCGGCCATGTATATACGTCTTACGAGCCAGTGCTTCAGACATATATACTATACTCAATAATTTGAAAAGGTTGGAGGGCGTGGGTAAAGAAGGTTTTGTGGGCAAGGGGCTTGGACTCCAGCAAGCATGCGTAACCGTGTTAGATAGGAGTGAATAGAGATGAATGGTATTTGGGACCTGACAAGCTGTTGGAGTGTGAGCAGGGTAATATTTCGTGAAGGGATTCAGGGAAACCGGTTATTTTTATATAGCCAGACTTGAGTACTGGAAATGGGAAGTGCAATGCCTACACTTTAAAGGAGGGGTTGGGATGTTTGCAGTTTGGAGGGATATGTTGTATATCTTTATATGTACATATATGCTTCTAAACTGTTGTGTTCTGGGCACCTCTGCAAAAACAGTGATTATGTATGAGTGAGGTGAAAGTGTTGAATGATGATGAAAGTATTTTCTTTTTGGGGATTTTTTTTCTTTTTGGGTCACCCTGCCTCGGTGGGAGACGGCCAACTTGTTGAAAAAAAAAAAAATTCTAGCGGCTTCAGATCAAGCAGGAGAAAGCTGGTAGGCCCACATGTGAGAGAATGGGTTGTGTGGGCAGTGTGCATTGTATAAAAAAAATCCTGAAGCACACAGTGCATAATGAGAAAAAAAACTCCGTGTTTCTGGATTAAAACTCCAAATTTGAGGTGTATTTTCTTATAGTATTTATGGTTGTATTATCGTTTTCTTGGTCTCATTTGATAGAATGGAAAACATATTACAGAAATAGAGATGATTTTGATTAGTTTCACGATGAAAACAACTTTGAAATTGAGCTCAAAATAGCAGAAATGTTCGATTTTTACCAATGTTCAAGAGTAAGCAAATCACACCACACGTCCAATACATGTCAACTGGGAAGTCTGATATTCTCTCCCTAGTGCACTGATATTATTTATACCATTTTTACAATAATGCAGTAGTCTGCATAATAGTAAATCTTCTATTTTTTGTGTGAATAAAAAATCAAAATGGAAAACGAGTAATATAAGAGGGGCCTGGAGACATGACTAATGAACAGAGGATATTTTATTTTAGTGCCAAGAATGTGTGCATTGTTTATTCTGGACCCTATTTTTAAATTTGAATGAAATTGGCCAAATTGCCAGTTTCTGACCACTTTATTGGGTAGTTGAAATCAGTAAATGGGCAGTTTCTTGTACTCAGTTGATAGAAAAAAATGGAGTTCTAAAGAAATAGTTATGGGTTTGGTCGACTGGAACAGTGGAATTGGCCGAAAATAGAGCTCGGAGTTTGCGAAATCGCCAATGCGTATATAGTGCCGAGATCGCTAACTTCATGGGAGTGTAATTCCGTAAGTTTTTAATGAAATTTCATACTTTTGGTGTCATTACCATCGGGAAAAGATTCCCTATCATTTCATAGGAATCCCCCCTCCCCCCCTAAAAAAAAAATTGCAACATAGAATGAGAGTTTCAGAAATGAGCTTGCGACAGTCAATGGGTTAACCTTCTCACAATCTGTAGCCACTTTGTTAATTTTTTCATTAATTGCACAGCTTTTAATTTTCATAACTTCAAATCATATTCCCTACTCCCCAGTCTTTGTAAATATTTTTTCTTTCTTGACAGTGTTGCTCTTAACGTTGTTTTAATTCTGTGGCTCCATAATTAGAAAACATCAGAAAAAATTAGTGTTTATGGATCAGAGTATATCATATCAGTATTATTTTTGCCAATGAATATTGCATTTTATAGCCATTAATAATTGTAACAATTATTGAAACACTAATAGTAGTAGTATTTGATTATTAAATTTTTATCTCATTTATTTTAGCAAGTATACACATCTGCATAGAGTATTAGTATGCTACGTTTTTTCAAAGTAATGTTTCAGATTAATTAAAGGTCATATCATAAATGTAAAAACTTCTTTTAATAGTAATTTTGGCTGAAGGAATGACAGGTATTGTAGCATTTACTGTACATAATTTGAGTACCTTGAGATGAACTGTATTGTGATATGGTATTGCTTCACCTTATTTTGTATTTGCTATATAATAATTAGTCTTATTCATTTCCCTTGCTATTATACACTATCTAGACCAAAGATCCAGATTTTGACGAAGAAGTCGCAAAGTTCCGATGTGTGCAAAAAGCAGCAGCAGCAGTGACACAGAACATAGGCGCTGTGGTGCAAAGTATAAAGGCACGTCATAAGGCAGAACTGAAATTGGCCAAGGGTTTGGTTGGCACACTGCACCAGGCAGCAAGAGCACCACAGATTGAGGCAGTGCAGAAAGCAGCTTCAGACTCGTGCAATAAACTGTTTGAAATGTTTGTGAGTAAATTACTTCCATGGTTTGTCTTTGTGTTTTGCACTTATGAATTGTCTCATAAAGACAACGTGTGGAAAATTACTGTTTTATTGATTTAAAAATTTTCATAAGGTAGAATGTAAAAAAAAAAGTAACTAAAATTATTGTATTTTAAGTGGGGGGAAAGTGTGCAACAAAGGAGTGAGAGTGCATTTACTTGAAATTTTATAAGATAATGGTTTGGTTGCAATTACATTACAGTGGGTGGGGATGTTGAAGGGGTAATCAGATTAAGATGTTGACATGCTTCTGGAAAGACGGCAAGTGAGTAAATGTTGGTGAATGTGTTTTCTTCTTTAGGTTACCCTGCTTTGGCAGGAAATAGCCGTGGAATTCAGTAAAGAGTAATACAAGGGTAAAAGGATCTAGGAAGGATTTATGTAAGTCCCATTTAAGATGAGGGAGAATGACAACCAATAGACTATAAGATTTAACTCAGATTTTGCAGATACTGAGAAAACATGCATTTCTTGCAATATTTTGACATAGTTAAACTATATGGATCAGACACATTACCTTCTCATGCTTGTAAGTGCTAATATTGTCCAGTATAAAGTTCTACTAAGCTTATAAATGTTATGGTGATACCAATGAACTGTGAAAAAGGACACTTGTGTACAGTTCAAATGTTTATTAAAGTAAACACTTTGCTATGAGTGGCTTCATCAGTAAGCTAAAACAGGTTAATATATAGTGGAGAGCGCAGGTGAAGAGAATCAAAGGTGAGGCAGCAGGTGTGCCATATTGCAGAATACATAAGAGGGGATGGATTTGAGAAGACCTGCCTAGTATGGGCCATTATGCCTGCTGCATAGCTTCTCTATACTCAGTGTGCTTCTGTGATGGCAGATCCTAACATGAATTTCAATATTTTAGCCAAAAGTTTGGAGACACTGAAGCCTCCAGACCTTCACAGATTTCTGTTGGTTATGGCAGTTAAGGCAGTTTCCAGCAACTTTTGCCTCTTGTCATTATTGCAGATAGTTGTGCTAGTCATCCACTAAGCACCACTAGTCATCCACAAAAACGACCAACAAGAGGTGAAAGATGCTGGAAACTGCCTTAATTGTCACAGCTGACACAATCCTGCAAAGGTCTGGGGGCTTCAGTGTCTCCAAATTTTGGCTGTTCATGTTAGGATCTGCTGTCACATGAACATACTGTAAGCATGGAAAAGCTATGTAGCAAGTGCTGGCCCATGCTTGGCAGGTCTTGCTCAGATCTAATCCCTCTCACTTAAATATATCTGTCCAACATATATTCTACAATTTGGCCTTTGCTTCTGGTCACCTGCACTCTCCACTATATACTAACCTGTTTTAGCTTACTCTGTATTAGAACTCATGAAGCCACTTGTGACACAATGTTTCCTAATAAATGTCCTCAACGGTACACAAGTGGCCTTTCCAGACAATGTGGATTATAACATTTTATAAAATTCCATAATCTGCTTTGTGTCTTATTTACACTGTGCCTTAATGTTGGTGAGAGACTTTTCAATTCAAGGAATTGGAACTGCCCTTACTCTTCCCTGGATCAAACTCAATTGTTTCCCATTCCCCAGGTGCTGTATGACCCCTTTGGGCCTAACACTTTCTCATAATAATATTAATACCATACATGTATGCAAAGGTTAGTGGATGAGTTTGGGAGGGTGTGTAAAGGTAGAAAGTTGAAAGTGAACATAGGTAAGAGTAAGGTGATGAGGGTATCGAATGATTTACATAAAGAAAAATTGGATATCACATTGGAGGGAGGGGGTTGGAAAAGTGAATTTGTTCAGATATTTGGAAGTTGACTTGTCACTGGATGGGTTTATGAAGGATGAGGTTAACCATAGAATTGATGAAGGAAAATAAGGCGAGTGGTGTGTTGAGGCATCCGTAAAGACAAAAAACTTTATCCATGCAGGCAAAGAAGGGAATGTACAAGAGTATAGTGGTACCAACGCTCTTATATAGGTGTAAAACATGGGTTGTAAATGCTACAGCAAGGAGGAGACTGGAGGCAGTGGAGATGTCATGTCTAAGAGCAGTGTATGATGTGAATGTTATGCAGAGAATTCGTACTGTGGAAATTAGGTGTGGAGTTACTAAAAGTATTAGTCAGAGGGCTGAAGAGGCATTGTTGAGATGGTGTGGTCATTTAGGGAGAATGGAGCAGCAAAATAGAATGGCTTGGAGAGCGTATAACTGTAGGGAAGGCAGGCAGGGTAGGGGTCATCCTCAAAATGGTTGGAGGGAGAGGGTGAAGGAGGTTTTGTGGACAAGGGGCTTGGACTTCCAGCAAGTGTGCGTGAGCATGTTAGATTGGAGTGAATGGAGATGAATGGTTTTTGGGACCTGACGAGATGTTGGAGTGTGAGCAGGGTTATATTTTGTGTAGGGATTCAGGGAAACCGGTTAGCCGAACTTGAGTCCTGGAAGTGGGAAGTACAATGCCTGCACTTCAAAGGAGGGGTTTGGGATACTGGCAGTTTGAAGGGACATCTAAACTGTCGTATCTGAGCGCCTCTGCAAAGACCATGATTATGTATGAGTGATGGTGAAAGTGTTAAATGATGAAAGTTTTTTCTTTCTTTTTGAGTCTCCCTGCCTCGGTGGGAAACAGCCGATGTGTTAAAATAAATGTATCTGGATCTAATCATAACTGTAGACTAAAATGTCTTGTGTTCTGGTTCTTTTTATTTATTGTACCTTCATGCAAAAGATTACAATATTTCAAGACTTGAAATTTTTTTTTTATCTCCAGGACAAGTTTGTGCAAGAGCGCATTCTTCTGCCAGCTAATCAGTTGCTGTGTTTTTGTGAGGTGCCAGAGCGACTGATACTTAAAAGAAATGACAAGATTCTGGATTATGATAATGCTCAGTACAAGCTGGACAAAAACAAGGACCCTACTAGGACCAGGATAGTAAGCTCAATTTATATATATATTTTTAATAATAAGTGTTTTATATTTGTAAAGCAGTCTTTTTTGTGCTTTTATTTATTCAACACTGGGATATTAAATATTTTATCAATAATTTAGACCAGATTGACCTTAAAATTCATGCATGTTCTAACTGAAAAGAATCCTATATTTTCTAGTCTCAGGGTTTAATTATTTTACACTGTGTGAGGATCGTTCAGCGCTGTAAGATACTATACTGTACTTAAATCAGCAGATCTTTCATTTGCTGATTAAGAAGCACATGTTAATGTTGTAGCTAGGCTTCATCCTAGAGTTGATATATAGAGGATACCAATGTAAGCAAGGTAAAGTTTCCAAGGGATTTCGGGGAAATTAGACTTGGAATTCTGGAGGTAGGAAGTACAATGCCAGCCCTCTGAGGGATGGTTGGGGTTGTTACAGTTCAAGGGTTAAAGTGGTACCTCGATATTTGAACTTAATCAGTTGCAGGAAGCTGTTCAAATAGTGAGTTGTACGAATATTAAATAAATTTTCCCCTAAGAAACTTCCCCTAAGGCTTTGTCTGTTATCCTTAAACATTGGAGGATATTAAAATAGTTATAATATCCTCCCTTTTAATAAATGGTTTATCTGAACTTCATCAAAATGGACAATTTTGTTAAGGCTTTATATCAGGGCAACATCTGAATACCAAGTCAAATTTTTCTCGAAAAGGTTGGGCTGATATCAGCTTGTACAAATACAGGTCGGCCATTACTAATCCGGTGTTATTGGGACCTGTAGTGTGCTGGATTAGCGAGTTTGCCAGATAACAGGGTGGTTAGGTTAGAATACACTTAATTAACCTGTCAATAGAGAGACTGCCACATCTTCCTCATTTTCATCACTGCTTTCTCCTCCATTGGCTTGCTGCTGTGGATTTACAACCATCTGCACAATTTCTGAGTCAGTATAATGATGAAATTTTAAATTATACTAGCCGAAATTAGTGCCGGATTACTGGTGGAACCGGATAACTGATTGCCGCATTAGTGATGGCCGACCTGTATAGGGATGTACGAATATTGAAGTTCCACCGTATTTGAAGTAATGCTCTTGAATTTTTTGGAAGATGGCTTGGAAATGAATAATGATGGATATATGTATTTCATTTTTTCATCCTACCTTTGTAAGAAAATGCTTATTAAAAACTTTAAGGGTTTGACAGTGTTCTCACTGGCCTACAAACCTCAGTGATCACCATGGAAGAAGGGGTAGTGGTCTACCCAAGGTTACCACACCTCTCTGTGCCTCCTCACACTTGCCTTACAGGATGGAAGAAGGGTGCATTGATGCTGGTGAAGGATTCTTCATTCATGGAATTGGAGCTACCCTTTCTTTCCTTGGATCAAACCTAATTGTCTCTCAGTCATCAGATGCTGTATAACCCCTATGAATTTAGTATTTCCTTATCAAATTATTTATAAGAACTCTCACACTTTCACCTGTGGTACATTTTGAAACTGACAGGTCTTAGCTGTTTCTACCAATGGTAGACTTCATGTGTCACTTTCTGATAAGAGGAATGAAGTGCAGTATAAGGATGAGAGAGCAAGGCCTGATATCACTGGAAAAACAAAGAACAGGGAATATACTGTATAAAATACTCAGCAGTACAGACATGATAGACAAGGATAAACTTTTACCAGAGAAGTAAATAAAATAGTGAAATGTGGAAACTACAAACCAGAATGAGCTGTTGGGATGTAAAAAATTAAACATGAGGATGGTACAGATTTGGAATGATTTGGACAGTGAGACAGTACGTGGAGACTCCATACATGAACGATGAGACAGTGCATAGCGACTCAATACATGGGCAGTACAACAATATATGGTAATTTAATTCATGGGCCCTAAGACTAAACATGGTGGCTCCCTACAGGGATTCAAAAGTAGATATGATAGCTCTGTTTTTCATTAGGAAATTTAAATTTAAATGGTAGATCCAAGAGCTAGATCTCATTACCTGTGCACTTAGATGAATAAAAATAGTCATCTCATATAAAGCTCCTCCATATAATGCAATTTTTTCATGAATATGATTGAAAAAACACATAAAAAATTAAATAGCACATGTAAAGGCTTTTATAATACTTTATTAAATTTTTGTTGCACTTTCAATAGCATATACAAAAAATTTAATTACATTGAGGAGCCTTACAAAAGAGTTGACAATACTAGTTAACCTTTTGAGGATCCATCCCATAGTTCTACAGCTTTGAAGCCAGGGTCCATGCTGTAGTACTACGTCATGAGCTCAGTTCACTCAGATAAGCTGTGAGTGGTAAATTTGGGCCTAGGTATGAGAGAATGCATCTGTGGTAAATGTGCACCATATAAAACAAATTCTGCTGCATGCAGTGCATAATGAGGGAAAAAAAATGCAGCTGTGTTTTTGGATTAAAACAGCGACTTTGCGGTGTACTTTTTGTGGTTTTTACTATTGTATTCACGGTTTCTTGATTTCATATGATAAATGGAGGATATATTAGAGAAACAGTGATGATTTTGATTGGTTTTAGTACTGAAAATAGCTTGAAATTGAGCTCAAAGTAGCAAAAATGTTCAATTTTTGCTGATGTTTAAGAGTAAATAAATCATGTCGCACATCTAATACATGTTGGCTGGTGGATCTAATGTGTTCACAAATGCACTGATATAATTTATACAATTATTACAATATTGCATAACAGTAAATCTTCTATTTTTTTGGTGTGAATAAAAAATCAAAATGGAATTCAACTGTAAAGCCTGGAAACTTAACTAATAAACAGAGGAAATGTTATTTTAGTGCCAGGAATGCTTGCATTGTTTATTCTGGACCCTATTTTGAAATTGGAATATTTTGAACTCTGTGAAATTGGCCAAATTACCAATTTCCAATAACTTTATTGGGTACTTGAAATAGTTGATTGGGCAATCTCTTGTGCTAGGTCGATAAAATGAAACACATACAAGCGATATTCCTAAGAGTTTGGTCTAAAGGAACAATGTAATTGGCCGAAAATAGGACTCAAAGTGGGCAAAATCACTGATGAGTAAATATCGCTGACACAGCAAAATGTGCAAGTGTAATTTCATCAGTTTTTTTTTTTTTTTATCAGATTTCATACCTTTTGTTTTATTACCTTCAGTAAAAGAGTTTTCACCATTTCATAAGAAAAATAATAAAAAAATTTATTGAAAATTCTTGGACACTGGGGACTTTTCAGATTGGGGTTTGGACCCTCAGAGGGTTAATTATTGTACTGTTAAGTACCATATAATTCAAAAGGTGCATGAATAATTATTCTGTTTTTCTGCCTATGATGATTTTGTGTAATAAATTTTAGCCTTGAAAGTATTTTTTTTTTCCTTCCAGCTTGAGGAAGAGTTGTCCATAGCTAAGGGAACATATGAAGCTCTTAACACTCAGCTGATGATGGACCTACCACAGTTTATCAGTTCTGGGACGGAGATAATGATTCTGGTCACGCGGACTCTCGTTGCTGCTCGCATGTACCTCCAGGGACACCTGGCTCAGTTATATCTTCGTCTAGCTCAGGTAAGAAACAATTGGGCTGCCTTGTAATGCTACCAGCACATACCATAAATATTACTGCAACAAAGGTAAAAATACTCAAGAGGCAACTGGACAGTTGCTTACTACAAGTAGCAGATCAGTCAGGATCTGATGGCTCAGTAATCCTGAGGGCCACACGCCTTGTTGAAAATGGTGTAAAATACCAACAAGTTGATGAGTAAGACACATGGGCAACAGGTGCGTATCTTTATTGTTGAAATGTTTCGCCTACACAGTAGGCTCCTTCAATCAAATATATGGAAGCCTAGTCTTGGATTGGACTGTGAAAGTTGTAAATTTACTAGACAAGTAAATTTTTTTTTTTTCAACAAATCGGCCATCTCCCACCTAGGCAGGGTGACCCTAAAAGAAAATCCTCAAAATGAAAATGGTTTCATCATCATTCAACACTTTCACCTCACTCGTACATAATCACTGTTTTTGCAGAGGCTCCCAGATACAACAGCTTAGAAGCATATATAAAGATATAAAAAGTGACCTGAAATAATATAAATAATGTAAATAAGTATACAAGGTATGATATAGCGTGTAATGAAAGTAGTTTGTTAGATAATGTATTGGTGGATAAAAAGTTGATGGGTAGGCTTCAGGATGTACATGTTTATAGAGGGGCAACTTATGTATCAGATCATTATTTAGTTGTAGCTACAGATAGAGTAAGAGGTAAATGGGATGAAAGGATAATGGAAACAGCAAGAGAGAGGTGAGTGTATAAGCTACGGAAGGAGGAAGTTAGGGTGAGATATAAGCAACTATTGGCAGAAAGGTGGGCTAGTGTAAGTATGAGTAGTGGAGGGGGGTTGAAGAGGGTTGGAATAGTTTTAAAAATGCAATATTAGAATGTGGGGCAGAAGTTTGTGGCTATAGGAGGGTGGGTGCAGGAGGAAAGAGGAGTGATTGGTGGAATGATGAAGTAAAGGGTGTGATAAAAGAGAAAAAGATAGCTTATGAGAGGTTTTTACAAAGCAGAAGTGTTATAAAATGAGCAGAGTATATGGAGAGTAAAAGAAAGGTGAAGAGAGTGGTGAGAGAGTGCAAAAAGAGAGCAGATGATACTGTGGGAGAGGCACTTTAAAGAAATTTTGATGAAAACAGCAAATATCCCAAAGCCCTCCTTTAAAGAGTGCAGGCACTGTACTTCCCACCTCCAGGACTCAAGTCCAGCTAACTGGTTTCCCTTAATCCCTTCACAAAATATTACTTTGCTCACACCTTAACAGTTCTAAGTCTCAAAACCATTCATCTCCACTCCTATCTAATATGCTCACACATGCATGCTGTATGTCCAAGCCCCATGCACACACAACCTCTTTTAAACCCCCCCCCCCCTTTTTCCCCCCACAGTCCTTTCCCAGGATGATCCCTACTCCACCTTCCTTCCACTACAGATTTATACACCCTCCAAGTCTTTCTGTTTTGCTCCAACTTCTCTAAATGACCAAACCACATCAACAACCCCTCTTCAGCCCTCTGGATAATACTGTTAGTAACTCTGCACCTCCTTCTAATTTGCACACTATGAATTCTGTGCATGATATTTATGCCACACATTGCCCTCAGACACAACATCTCCACTGCCTTCAGCCGCCTCCTCGCTGCAACATTCACAACCCGTGCTTCACACCTATGTAAGAGTGTTGGTACTATACTCTATACATCCCCTTCTTTGCCTCCATGGATAACATTCTTTGTTTCTGCAGACACCTCAGTGTACCACCCACCTTTTTCCCCCCTTCATCAATATTATGATTTACCTCAGCTTTCATATACCCATTCACCAACACATCCACTTCCAAATATCTGAATACATTCACTTCTTCCATACTCCTTCCCTCCAATCTGATATCCAGGTTTTCCATACATAACTCGTTTGATAACCTCATCACTTCATTCTTACTTGTGTTCATTTTCAACTTCCTTTACACACCCTCCCAGACTCATCCACTAACCTATGCAACTTCTCTTCAGAATCTCCCAAAAGCACAGTATCTCCATTAATGAGGTTAGGAAAGGGAGGCTTGGAGTGTATTGAGATTCAATCTAAGGGAGTTGAAAAAAGTAGGAAAGAGTCCCTTGGAGCAAAATAGTGAACACAATTTTGGCTGTTTTAAGTTCCATAAGTTTGCAATATGAAAACATTGATAATTTTGGAGGTGCAAGCTTGTATATTGATGAAGGGACAGCTGCCAAGGAGGTTAAGTGGGAATTAATGCTGGGAGCGAGGTGAGGCCAGCATTTCTTGGGAGTTGACTTAATCCCACTGAAGGTCATTGATCTTCTCACTCTGCTCATATAAGAGCCCTGTTGTTGTTGTTGTTGTTGTTGTTGTTCTCTTGCTCATAGATTTAATTAAATTTTAAAGGGATTGTTCTGTATTAGGGAATATTTTTTGCCTTTGCTAGTTATTTTTCTCAGAATTTAGTTGAGAAATAAACAATCGTAAACTTTTAATGATGGAAAATTGTACAGTTTTATGTTACAGTAATTTCTTGTTGATATTTAAAAAAATCTAAGTTCTGTGTAAAAATAATGTTTTTATTCACATGATACTAAGGAACATTTTCAAAGCCATATTTACCAGAGGAATAGAGGACTTTGATTTCCACTGGTTTGTGATACTTTCCAAAATGTTTCATGAAGTTGTAGAGATAAACAGAGCAATAACAAAAGCACCTTTTGTATAAAAAATATATATTTTGTTTAGATTGTATGAAAATATAAATTATGTTAGCTTTGCTGCAGTGCAAAAATCATTTGCAAAATATATATGAGAGTTGTTCCTACATACTGAATGACAAGCTTATGCATGCAGAGTGTAGTGGTCACCTGATGCACTGTATTCATAAAGTTGATGACTGGGATGCTGCTGAATAAGGTTCTCAGTTTACTCTCAGATGTGACAGTGAGCAGTGCTCATAGCAAACCTTTGTGTATACACATTTTTTCCAGTCATCTTCACATACAGTAATTTATATTTACATTGGTATGTAACCATTATGATTGAGAAATTGTAATTTAGTGACCACTTCACTTCAGAGATTGTCTAGTATAAATGAAAGTAATGTAATAAACAGGGCTTATTCTGATACATATATTTTAACTTAATGAACAGTCTCATATTATGGTATCTACTTCAAGATATTATTATTTATTACTACTGGTTTCCCTTGCTTTATTGGAGGGTGATAGTTCCTCGCATAAGTCATGTGAAGTGAAATCATCGAAAGCCAACTCCAGTTTAATAAATACAAATGGGTTGAAGTTTCATGTCAGGTCATTAGCCTTTCTTCCTTTTTATCCCCTAGGTCATTTAAACACAAAGTGCAAAAGGAAAATAATTTTTTTTTTTTGAAACTGACTGATCACTAGGGTAGGTAGTGGGAGGCATGACAAAATAGCAGAAAGAGGAGATAAGGAAGCAGTGACAGCAACAAAGAGGACCATGAAATGTTGGGTTTGGGTGTATTGCTTATTGAGTGCTCCTGTATAAAACTCCTTGTAAGCAGCTGAAACCTTTGTCAGGCTCATCACAAGCAACAAGCTCCTGCTTGTACTGCAGTTACCATTATAAATAACTGTTGCAGTCCCTTGTAATTGTGTGATTATGGTACTCCTTGAACTTGACTCCCTTTTGTTCTTCCAGGTACTTGCACAGATGTTAATTCTACTCACCAACTCTACCTTCTCCATCCCCAATAATAAATTTCTCAAACTGAAGTTATTTTTGATGGTAGAAATTTTTGACACATTCACATGATGGGCATTTTCCATGGACAGCAGACTTGCATTGTTCAAGATATGTATAAATTGATTTTCAATTTTGCATCAAAAGAAAATTTTGTTACCTCATCTTCTGCAGCTACATCATTTTGAAGATCAGACAGTTAGACAGGTTGAGGCGAGTTTTAGCAATTTAAAGAAAGGTCATTTTTCCAATGGTGTTGAGCACAAATTGACATTTTTCAGCAACTCTCAGGCCTTGGTCATGAAGCACCCCCATGCAACAGTAGATTTTGAACAGAATAAAATTGCACTTTGGAAAAATAAAATTGAGCTTAGACAATTCGAGGGAAGCCTGTATATTATATGCTAAAATACTAGGTAGTGTCACTAGAAAATATCATTTAAATAGAAGCTTAAAAAACATGTATGCTTCACTAGTTACTTAAAAAATGACCTTCAGATACGTGATCAAAAAAAATCCTAGAAAGATGTTAATGTATATCTTAGGCTAAAACTTAAATATGCTCTGGACATATATAAAAAATGTGGATAGAATATAAAAAATCCTAAAATAAGGTAGAAAATGGTTCCCAGAGCTGACCGTTGTTGATCCATGGAACTTGAACCTTTGGTCAACTTCAGTGTATATTCACTGCACTTGGCCTAGTTCTCAAGAAAGATTTACAGTGGTACCTTGACTTGCAAGTTTAATTCATTCTGTGACCCAGCTCATAACTCAATTTGCTCGTATATCAAATTAATTTTCCCCATTGAAATTAATTGAAATGCCATTAATCCATTCCAGCCCCCAAAAAACCACCCCAATTTTTTTTTTTTTTGTTATGGGTTTTTAAATAAGAAAAATGTATTTCTATATAAGAAATGATTTTTGCCTTTTTGCCAGGTCCCAGCAATGTTTTAGAATTGTGGAGTATATATGAAACTCCTTGAAGCACGGTGTAAGACGAGTGTCACTCCACTGCTGACAGTGCAGCAGTGGAGTGACATTTGACACTCGTGCACTGTCTTTGCTTTATTTTTCACTGTTACTCATAAACATGTCTTTCTATCTGTATGTTTCTGTCTATTTGTCTGTGTCTAGCTCTGCCTATATTTATCTCTGTCTCTGCTTATCTGTCCTTCTGTCTGCCTGTGTTTGTCTTCCTGTCTCTCTACTTGTCTCTCTGTCTCAGAGTGAGAGCCGCTCAAGAATCAGCAGGTATTACACATGATGCAGA